CATCTGCCTGCGAGCAGTTTGGAGGTGCAAGATGCCTGAGCGTGTAATGTTAATTTTACCTGTGATCCTTTGAATAAATCAGCACTGTTTTGAAGTTACTTGGACTGTCTCGTCTCTCAGAGTTAGCAATGGTAAGAAGAACCGTATCCTGCAACATACTATTAGATAGGGTTTTTTTTTTAGAACAGAATGATGTTTTATTTAAATAATTTATCTGAAAGAAACCACAAGTGCAGTTGGATTGACAAAAGCTCTGACATATTAAAAGAAATTAATTTTACAGATGTTGAAAGCCAATATTAGCCTATATAATGAAAAATCCAGCTCTATTCAGCAGCAGTTGCCATCTAATTTAGCTTCCCTATTCACTAATATTAATGAAAGCTCACTATTTTTAGGATTGGGGTTATTCTCCCAATCTGTAGCAAGCGAGGTAAGCCTCCTGTAAGGGTTGCTACAGTAAACAGCTCGTGGCAAGCTGCCCAGATAAAGTCTGTGTTGGGAAACGCTGCGCTGTTTCTCTCCAACTCTTTTGATCTTTTGATTTCTTTTGTAAGGAGCCTAAAATAAATGTTGAATTGTCAGTCTCTCCAGCAAACAGAGGAGAGCAAGTTGGCCTGAAAGAAGATAATGGGATCTTTCAGTTGAAAAACAAATGTCTACTATGTGCTGGATTTCTAAGTATTCACAAAACATTGTCATGTTTACCATGATGGTATCTTCTGGTATTTGTTGCCTTTTGTTATGAAAGGAAGTTGACATGGACTGTACATAAAGATTTTTCCTGCCATCTGAGGTTCAGCCAATCAGAATGTGAGGTCAAAAACAATGCCCGTTGCCTCATGGGAACATTTCCAGCATAACAGAGACACACACACACATAGATGCACACACACATGAATATGCACACATTGTACATACATGATGGTTTTCTACAAAATACCATAAACATCTGTTTAAATATTCAAAATGTATTATACAAACACTCATTAACATAATTCATTCCCTAGCCTCTCACCCTAACATCAACCATCACAACTAAATGCCCCTAACCCTAAACTAAACCACAGTCTAAACTCTAGGCTACTCTACCTAATTTCTTTTCCCCTGCTCGAGGGTCTAGTGAGACTCAAAACAAATGACAACATACTGTAAACTAAAGATGTTTAATTGCGACCGACTGCAGCTGATGTTAATCCCGGTTTTTGCTCTTTCTTTCTTCAACTCCCTCTGTGCAAAAGATGCCACATCTTCGGTCTGGCAGCCGCTAGACTTTTATCTGCAAAGAGCTCCTCCATGACTGGAGGGTTGAAAAATACTTCTTCACTAGGTTTACAGTCCATGATTTGAGAGCACAGGTTAGAGAAGCTGGAGAAATTACAAAAGGGCTGAGTGGAGCAGAGCGTCATGAAAGGGGTGGTATAGCTGAGAGAAACCACATCCTGTCCCATTGTCGCTGGGTTTGTCAAACAACATGTAAAATCTTAGTTAATGCACCATCAACTGTAAAACCAAGTCTTTTCCCTCAAAGAGCCCCTTGTAGGTGTGTCAGAAAGTGAGGACCAAGGTCATTGTCGTCATTTTCCCAAAATGCCCTCACATCTGTGGTGGTCCTCACATTGATGGCCATATGTAGGTGCACACAGTTCCCTCCCTCAGTTCAGGGTTTTTCCTCTTCTCATTAAACAGAAAAGCAGCTACATAAACAGGAAGGTCATTCTATCCATAAAGCTATGCATATATGTGAGGGTGTAGTAGACTGCTAAACAAAGTGCTCAGCGCTGTTCTCCATCTTTCAGCATGAAGGGCTGCATCCCTGAAATATTGATGAATCGACTCAGTGTGTGTCCATGTGTGTGTGTTCACTGTAAGCTTGGGGATCAGTGAAGAAAGCAGGGCCATTTCTTAAACAATACACACTCTTCTGTCTCTCATACAAGGGCCCAATAAAAAGAGATTGACAGAGAAAATACTGTATCTGCACATAAATATAAAATGGTAAATATATGTTTATCTTGCAAGGCCTGGAAAGTGAACATGTCTGTTTTGGATGGAGGGGAGATGTAGTATTTTGCTAATGTAACCACTGCAGCCTCATCAAAATATACAAATCAATTATCAAATGAACACACAAATGTAATAAACCCTGTCATCATAGACGTATAATATAAAAAGTGGATAATCACACAGTACTATATAATACAGCATTTCTTTTTGGACATATTAGTTCATTTATACAACAAAATGAGTCAAGTTACATAAGTCTTGTCCATGTGTATCCGTATCAATTTAATTTGGGGCAATAAAAGGATGTTCTCCAGGTGAATCTGTGGTTTGTGATCAGCTGAGTGCATGTCACTGTGTGTATGTTAGATGCAGGAGATCACACACAGTGAGTAAATGGTAATGAGATTATACAGTAGGCTTTAAGTTGTGGCTGCTTAAGTGCCTCCTGCATCGACCAGGGCTGATGTGAAACAGCTTTAAAGAGATGGCCTGACCTTTGTTCTCTCTACCTCCATCTTTCATCCTCAGTGTCTCTTGTCTTTTCCTCATTACCTCTCCCTTTCTTCTTTTGTCTCTTCAGAACAAGCTTTCTGTCTCTCGGCTGCACACACGAGAGCTGTTGTCATCACATTGTATTTATAGCCTGGTTGCTCCCAGCAGGCCACGGCCTCGCTGCGATTGGCTGGCTGATGCACACGAGCCAGCTCAATATGCAGCACTTGCCATTCTCTTCACTTTCCCATCAGTCACAGCCAAAAGAATCTGAGCACACACTTATGGGCAGATTATACATGCACACACAAACGTGCAGGCTGGCACTCTCACAAGCTCCAGGAAGCATCTGGTGCATTTGTAAACCTTTCAGGCTTTTCTTTTTCTCATTCTAGCATCCTCCTGCAGAATGTAAAGCTCAGGAAATATAAATAATGCCTCACTGGACTAGATTTCATTATAGAACATATAGCAGATTATGGTACTTGTCCATATATAATGATGAAACATCTAAGCAGCTGTTCACTGAAGCAGCCACTGCAACTGATAAATACAGGTGTAACTAAGTGCCTGTGTGGGAGGTTTGCCTGCAAATTTTGTTTAATATATGTTTTTAATTAAAGTTTATATTGTTCCAGTCAAGCATTAGGCAGTAAAGGACAATAATACATTATTTTTCACTGAGCATCAGGATTCCATAAGGAAGACTAAACATTGCATGAATTAATTAATGAATTAATTAATTAATACCACCTTTAACTTTTTTTCTGTGATTATTGTGAAAATTATGATTTAATAATATAAAATTGACTTAACTGATGTACAGGTATGTATATGAAGGAAATAGCAGTTTGTTTGTCTTTTGGTTTAAGCACGTGTAACTTCTGCCTCATCGCCCACGCCCTGTCGAACCCAACAACAATAAAGTGAATAGCAACATTGACTTTTTCCCAGCTCTCTGCATTAGACTAGTAAAACTGCAAATTACTGAGAATCTATTTTATCAAGCGTCTTTAAATTTAAAGCAAGATTATTCTGTTTGCTCTGAATATGTTTTTGTTCATCTTAAAAATGTATGAAATGTGTTCTTCTTCTTCTTCTTCTTCTTGTGAAATAGCTGCAGTATGAGCGTCTTTAATCAGTGAATAGAATTTAAGAACTGCTTTACTGGCCAAGCATTTATGGAAGAAAATATATAGTGAGAACTCCAGGACAATAGTTCAGTTTGCCAGTTAATGACTTGTAGATACAGGAGGGTTTATAATGACACAATGGACAAATTTAGCTCTGCTGACCTTTACAGAATGTCAGACATCCTGACTCCATCAATGTGACTGAAACCTCAGTCTGCAAGGATGCCTGGAAACAGAATAATGACTCGCGTGACAAGTGATTTGTCTCTTATGTGACTGAAGAGCATTTAGATTTAGATTCTTCACTGAGTCTTCACTCCCTTTCCTCCTCTTGTCATCTTCTTATCTTCACCTCTGTTGCACAAGCTCAGATGTAAAAGAATTTGACTCCAACATTTAAAACTTAATGCAGTTGTTTTTAATTTTAACAAGTATTTGCACTGCTCTTATAGAAGTAAATTATATTTGGAGCCTGGATATCCTATTATGATTTTTTTAACCTCCTTTACCTTTTTAACCTTCTTTACCTACCTTTTTTACCTTAATTTTTTCAAATACCTGGTTTGAAACTCATTTGGAAATCTGCTTTTTGTTTTCAGCTGTTGTACTGACAACGCTGCTGACATAAAGCTTTTGTCAGAGGCTTATTAAACCTTTTTCTAATCTTTACTCGAACTTGTTCTAGGAGGAAATAAACATAGCACTTCTTTAGCTGAGGGAGAGCAAAGAAGTGCAGGAGGAGTGCACTTGTTTCCTCTTATAAACTCATTGCCTGCAAGCTGTTTTTAGGATAATCAGGGGACACGTACAGTAAAACAAAACATTGTTCAGTTTTAATTAGATGTTTGCACACTGATGCAGTTGGGGGTCTGACACAGTTTCATGAACCCAGTAAGACTCACAGTGGCTCTTGTTATCTTTAAGACAAGTAAAAGCATGAATTTGCATTTCCTTCATTAGGTAAAAGCATCATGTACTGTTAAATGTAAAGTGTCAAGTTTTCCATTTAAGTCTCTGGCCAATTGTAGCCTGTATATAAAGGTTCTGAATCTCTCTAACCAGCCTGTCCTGGGTAAGAGACACTGTATGCACGAGAGAGAAAACCCCCGACATGAGTCCGGCCTTTGATGAAGCTGAAAGAATATGACAAAACACAAAGAGCAGCAAATCAGGCAGCTGCACACAAAGAAACAAAGAGGCTTTCTGCAGACGCATCCTCTCTGAAGGATGCCACTGTATTCTCTGCATGAGTGTGTGTTTTTGTCTTTGCTCATATAATCAAGTGGACAGAGCAGCATGTGTGAGCCATAGAGAATGTATAGGCTGCACACAGTTGACACAGTTTTTGTCCTGAAACAGGAATGCGGCCATTAGAAAATGGCCTCTGGTTGCCCTTCATGGACCCCGTTTTCTGTCTAAAATTAAGGGATTTAATATTTTTCCTCCAACATATGCATACAGAGTAGAGCTGTGCTCACTATTTAAGTATTAAAGTATTTTAAAATCCTGGCTGTGGCCCTGTTAGACATCTATACATTTACAAGAAGGGCTGTTGTAGTTTTATCTCCTGAAAACTGGTGTAAGGTCTGAAGCACTGCAGATTCTTAGCAGAGCCCAGCTTGCTGTGGCATGGTGTCATCATGTTGTACTCCCAGCTCCATCTGCCTCATCAGCACAAAGTTTGCACTGACTGCAGCAGCTCCAACACACACACACCGGCTTAACTGTTAGATGTTCGAATGAACTGTTTGGCCTCCAGCAGCATCAAAGGCAAGAAAGACAGTTCACTCTGTGTCCTAATGTATTTTACAGTTTTATTCCAGTCAGTTTATTAAACTAGAATAATAATAAGCCACTGATTAATGCTTTCCCCTGTTTATTATTACACTTTGATAATAGGGAAAAGTTACCTGTAATGAGTGAGCAGGCAGAAGCGGACTCTTCAGCAGG